TTTAATAATAATCAATAGTCTGGAAGTGTTCGTGATCGAACGTGGGGTTATCAGAACGGTAGGTGGATCCTAGGGATAAAGTCGTAAGCCGAGGGTCGTGTGATTCGTGAACCAAGTGGGATTAAGAGGTAAAAACAAGTTAAAGCAAGAATTCGCATGAATTTGTAGCCAGGTCCAGAGATAGGAAAAGGAAGAGAGAAAAAGGGAGGTAAGGAGAGGCATCTTCGGGAAAATAAAAAAAATATAGCATCTCCAAGGGAATTGTAGAAGGAATGCTCGATGAGGATGCTTGGGGTCTTGCACGTACTGTCATTATGCATACACTTTCCTCAGGGGTAGTCTGGATTAGAAACTTTAGCTTTAGAAAAAGCCATGGCCGTGAGGAAACCTCCAGCTGAGGAAACGGATTTGCGAGCTGGTTCTTGACTTTGAGTACCAAGTGAATTCAAAGTTGGTATATGGGGACGGAGGATCCTCGAAGGAGAGAATTGAAATTTAACTTTCTTTTTGCGAATCAAAATGCAATCAGACGGTCGAGATTTCTGATTCATCAAAATTGGAAAGATAAATCCTTCTCGGACTATAAAGATCGTAATACGGAATTCGGGTTACTTTTTTTCAATCTATTTTAATGACAAATATTCTAATTATTTTAGTCAAACATTTTTTAAAAACATTTTTTTCAAACATTTTCTTTAAACATTTTTTTTAAACATTTTTAAACACGTCATCATTTAAAGATTTGTTAATTAGAAAATCTGAAAGACTTAACTCACTCTGAGACTTTGAAAATGTACAAATTTAAGACTGAATATTTAAAAATGTCTGAATTAATAAATTAAAAAAATCAACAATGAAAAACTTGATTTATTATGTTTAGGAGTAAACAATTTTTAAATTCATAATATAGAAAATCAGAGAAATTAGCAATTACAAAATCAGTAACACTAAAACTTTGAAAACTCATAAATTTCAGATATTGAGGTTGAAAAATTTAAGTAAGAAAGTCAACAAACCATGAACATTTAAAAATTTAACAATTTCCACCTTGAAAAATTTAATAGTTTGAAAGTTAATAAATTCTTAAAATTAATCATTTTAAATGCATAAAATCAAAACTTCGAATAGCTGAAAATTCTTAAAATTAATCATTTTAAATGCATAAAATCAAAACTTCAAATAGCTGAAAGTGTAAAATTGATACAAATTGATCAATTTGTAAAATTTAACCCTATGAATACTCGAAAATTTGATAACTCATAAATTACAAAAATTAGTTATTATTTAAATAAGAAATTTGATGACATAACAGTACAATTACATAGACATTTACATGAATGTAAGCTTGAGGCATCAAAGCTTCAAACTACCTCAAAGCAAAATATAATTTATCTTTCGCAAAAAAATTATATTCATTTCTTCTATAAAATTGCATCTCACATATTTAAAAATAAATCCAACTGCAATGAAAAAATAAATAAATAAAATATAATATAACTGTAAGTGTCTCATAACAACGTTAACAATGAAACTGTACAATGTTCACTTAAGGTTAAGTTCAAGTTTATTAAGTTTATCTATGTTTATTAAGTGAATAATATAAAAATGACAGTAGGTGTGATTGTTATGAGTATATAGAATTTTGATGGTTGTATACGCTGTGAAATATGTGGTGAAACCGATTGGTATCTGCGTCGCTTGAAGCCACTCGCGAAAGTGCGTATAATTTGTGGTCGACTGGTTCCGCCGAATTACCGGAAACCATTCGAGTATCGAAAACAAGCCTATCGATATCGAGGGGAAAGTCTCTGATCTCGACTGTTCAGCCTTCCGCTAGTAGACCTGTTCATCAAAGTCCACTTTGAGCTTCGTGTTTCCTATTTCGACATTCTACTCGCGTTACCAGCCGCCATTTTCTCGATATCGAATACACAATACTTTTTAAATCGTCTAATTTACTTCTTTTCTCTCTTGGAATATTATGTGATCGTTTTTAATCATGAATGTTCTAAACTTTGATCTTCAAGGTTGTTTCTTATCTTGTTTTTGAACTTGAAGGTGTTTGAGAATTCTTGAGTGTTTGACTCTTCAGATTATTCAGTTTTTGAAATTTTAACAATGTAGGTTTTTTGAATTTTTGGACTTTTGCATTCTCCGTAAAAACACAAAAAATAAAAAAAGATACAGAATACCTTTGTATGTCACCATAAATTATTTTCTGTTCGATGAGATAAAAATTGGACGTTATGGACGAATAACCTTGAACTGAAATTAAAAATCTATGTTTCGTTTTGAATAAATTTCCTGAAGTCACATTATTCGTTCCCTAATCTAACCTTCATTGCAAAGGTTACAATAAATTACTTCTTGTTCGACGAGATAAAAATTTAAGGTTATGGACGAATAACCTTGAACTGAAATTAAAAATTTCTTTTCCATTTTGAATAAATTTTCTGAAGTCACATTCCATCCCCAAACTACCCTTTAAATATTACAATTTACTGTTACAAATATTATAAATTAATAAACTACCCTTTCTTCGAAGAAACAATAATTTGAGGTTACGGACGAATAACCTTCAACTGAAATTAAAAATTTGTTGTTCGTTTTAAATAAATTTTCTAAAGTCACATTGTTCCGTCCCTAATCTAACCTTCACTGTAAAAGTTACAATAAATTACTTCTTGTTCGACGAGATAAAAATTTGAGGTTATGGACGAATAACCTTGAACTGAAATTAAAAATTTCTTTTTCATTTTGAATAAATTTCCTGAAGTCACATTCCATCCCCAAACTACCCTTCAAATATTACAAATTACTGTAACAAATATTATAAATTAACAAACCACCCTTTCTTCGAAGAAACAATAATTTGAGGTTATAGAAGAACAACCTTGAACAAAAATGAAAAATTAGTTGTTCGTTTTGGATAAATTTGTAGAAAATCGGATTGCTCGTTGCCTGATCCAGCTACCGTTCGAAATGTTACGACAAATGTTGACCAAGATTCGTTTGCACGGTTGTTAGTAGGACTTCCACGTATCCGCAGGTGGGTTTACACTTGTGGTCGCAGTTAGAGGAAGCACAGGTGCAACCTCGTAGTATTCCACAGAGCGTGACGTAGGAGTCTCTCCGGTTAACCAAGTTAATCCGTTCTACATCGGTTTCGAATCGTTAAACAACAATTTATATTTAACCAATGCATTTTAAATGAGTCTCTACACGCTGCGCCGTAAGACGTGAAAATCGAGTCGGTGGATTCGGCAAAAATAAATTAGGAGGAATTCTATTAAACTTGTAGTTTGTTTCATTTTTTTAGGAGGACGGTTTCATTGATTTTTTGCGACTTTCAGGTGGAACTTTTATACGTTTTAGGGTGTTGCACTATGAAAATATTGAAGTGTTAAGATTTCAACATTTGGGGATTCAAAAGTTGAATCGTAACTTATTAGAATTTCAGAATTCAACAAGTGACGGTTTCAAAAATATAAACACTCAGAAAATTAATAAGTATAATAGTGCTTATATTATGCACTAATACTTATAATAGTGCTATTATTACTTATTATTTATAATAGTGCTTGTATCCACGCGCTGGATTACTACGCGTTAGATATCCACACGCTGGATTACTACGCGTTACATATCCACACGCTGGATTACTACGCGTTAGATTACCACGCATTAGATTCTTACGCTTAGAATTACCACGCGTTGCATTATTACGCGTTGGATATCCACACGCTGTATTACCACGCGTTGTATTACTACGCGTTGGATTACTACGCGTAGGATTACCATGCGTTGCATTACTACGCGTTGGATTACCACGCGCTGGATTACTACGCGTTAGATATCCACACGCTGGATTACTACGCGTTACATATCCACACGCTGGATTACTACGCGTTAGATTACCACGCATTAGATTCTTACGCTTAGAATAACCACGCGTTGCATTATTACGCGTTGCATTACTACGCGTTGAATATGCCACGTGCCAGATTACTACGCGTTGGATATCCACACGCTGTATTACTACGCGTTGTATTACTACGCGTTGGATTACTACGCGTTGGATTACTACGCGTTGGATTACTACGCGTTGGATTACTACGCGTTGGATTACTACGCGTTGGATTACTACGCGTTGGATTACTACGCGTTGGATTACTACGCGTTGGATTACTACGCGTTGGATTACTACGCGTTGAGATATCTACACGCTGGATTATTACGCATTAGATTCTTACGCTTAGAATTACCACGCGTTGCATTATTACGCGTTGGATTACTATGCGTTGAGTTCTCAATATTTGAGGACTCAAAAATTCAAAAATACAAAGGTATTTTGCATTTATAATATTTGTAAATTTTCTTTAATGTTTCTAACCTAAAATTGCTGATGCATGAATTACAGCAAACAGAGTAGCATAACGTTGTTACAAATCACAAAAACATGAAATTGTCACAAAATAGCCTTGTACTTTACACAAATTATTTTATTTCATATAAATGATTATTTTCTTAAAATTTAATTATTTTAAACGAATCAACAATAGAGGCTGTTTAATCCTAAATATGTCCAAATTTACTTTTCATATATTCTTGAATGATTCATTGAATAATTTCCTTAGGAGATTCAATAAAAAAATTCAAGTACATCAGGATCTTAACCAGATTGTATTATTCTGTCCAACCGTAAAACCCAAATTTGTTGAAACAAGAAGAAAATACAAAAATGGTGATTAGATGATTACAATGAAAAATTGGACAGCTAGATTAATATCGCTGAAAGATCGAACGTCAAGAAGCAACATAGAGGAAACAGCATAGAGCACCAGTGTTGGCAAGTAAAAGAAGGTGAATCGCGTGGGGTAGGGGTGAAAGGGCAGGCACTGTTGGAAAAAGGGAATAAAAGGCAACTGCCATAAAGCCATTGATAGAGGTCGTTCGAGTCGGTCGTTAATGGCATGGAAAAATAGCGAAAGCCAGCTAACTTTTCGCTATTGCTTGGCTGCAGTCGTGGCAGCTGCGACGAGTATTCCGTGTACACGCTGCAAATAGGCGATGCACAGTGTACAATTTTCCTCTCCTTCTTTATCCACCATTTTCCTCCGCATGGAGCCATCTTTGTCTCGCCTGGCGGCCATAGAACGCCCGGCATCTTCCTTCCTTTCGAAGTTAGCCAAACGCTGATGGCATCAATTGCGCGGATACCGGAGATCCCGTTGGCTTCGATGCTGCAGGAAAAGATTGCGGCAGTAACGATTGTGTTGGAACTGCTACACACCGGGAACGGGCTGAATCCGGGATGGGTCAAAGATGCACCCACGGTTAACCCGGCGACGGAAGAGAGAAACGTCGGCGTATGTACACTGTTAACTTTCTAGCGGACCGACCGAATGAGACCTATTTCAGTCCATCACCTGGACAAAGTGTACACAGAAGACCCGGAGAAAAGAGGAGACGGAGAGAACCGGGGAAAAGGAGAATCAGCCGCGTCGACATCACGTCGAGGATCAACGTGGCAACGGTCACACGAGAGGGAGCTGAGGGCTGCACTTTTCGACCTACCCACCGGAAAGACACGCTCCACTCTGACATGTCCACGACACTGCTTCAGCCTGAATACCGGAATCTGATCGCTGGGCTTTCTGGACGATTATATTACGCTGAATGAAATGATCGCGAACGTGGAAACGAGTACCTGATTTGCTGATAACGTCGTGGCGGAGATTGGTACTTTGTGACATTTGTCACGTGCAGGGTTATGTTAGGGGTTTTGTTACATTTTATGCGTTGAGGAAGGATTTTGAAGAATGAGAGTGACATGTTATGTGTGAAACATTGATTTGGTTAGAAATGTAACTGATATGATATATATGATGTATTAGTTAGAAAACTAAACTGCATTAAGAATGATGATATGAAGCTTGTAAAAATGGCGACATGCAAGCTTGACAAATTTTTTATGTATGAAATAAAAATTTGTTGTTCATTATATTCTTGAATGGTTGATTTCAAAGTATAAGAACAGTGACATGCAACATATAGAACCTTGATTTGGTTTGCAAAAATAAAACATCTGATATGCTATACATGGTGTATTATTTAGAAGGTTAAACAGCATTCAGAATGGTGATATGAAGCTTGTAAAAATGGTGACATGCAAGCTTGAAGAATTTTTTATATATGAAATAAAACTTTGTTGTTCATTGTATTCTTGAATGGTTAATTTTAAATTATAAGAAGAGAGATATGCAACATGTGGAACATCGATTACATAACATCAATGGTGATATGAAGTTTATAAAGATTGTGACATGCAAGTTTGAAGAATGTTATATATATGAAATAAGAGTTTGCCGTTCATTATATCGTTGTATTTCCAATAATTGATTCTGAAACTAGTATAACAAGAGCGATATGCAATCTATGGCATATCATTTTCAAGTTTAAAATTCGATAGAAATAGTGACATGCAGCTGAGGACAATATTAATAATATGTAACTATGTTTCATTACTCTGTTACAAATGATGATTGATATTAAATTAGGTGAAGTTTGACATGTCACCTGTGGCATATCAGCTTGATACATTCAAGTTTTGAATCATTTAATTAATATTGTCTGTATACAATGAAGAATGTGATTAATTAAAAGTAGTCTTTGGTCTTGTTGTATGTTAACAGTGAGTATAATAATAAATGCATGTCAGATGCATATCATTGATAATATCACTTACAATATAATAAAATGTCACGTTTAAATAGAGAAAATATAGAATTCTTGCTTTCGAATAATAATTAGTATAGAATTCTCAGTTATAATAAATAGTAGGTCTGTTACGTTGTTGCATATCAGTCAATTTTATAACGTAATGAGCTTGATATGCCACCTATAATATATCTCTTTGTAGGTTAGACTCTGATGAGCTTATAATCCACAATTTTCTTCAACATTCTAAATATAACGCAACTGGTTTTCAATTACAACAATGATCAACTTTGAAACATTAGAAAATCTGACGTATTTATATTATATAAAAATTCTGTCTCATATCACTAGCATATCACCTTGGAATTTAACGAAACTACATATGTAACTACTGATGTAACTATGATTAATATACCTAATACAAAATAGATGATCAACAGTTACAATGAACATTACACAATTTTGTAAACTTGTTGCACACCAGTTGCATATCAGCTGCATGTCACTTGATTTCGACCCGAAGACATAACCTCCCGCAACTTTACCTCACAAACACACCCCAAATCACTACTTATGACACATATTAAGCACCAAACAAACATTAATCACGAAATTAATCAACCAAAAGTAAAATTATTGATACACGTAAAGTAAACGAAAGAACATAATCTGTCGATTCATTAACCGTTTATTAAAATTACAAAATGATTGCATCGTGATTAAAATTACAAAGTGATCAATAAAATTATGAAATATACACCGTTACGTAATTATTCAACAGACACGAATTCATTTCAGTTTAATAATTAATTCGATAAGCAAAAATCGAAACGGCTTTCATAAACAAACATCAATATTTACCCGTTTCCAATTACGAAAATAACAATACATATTTGTTACACGAAAGAATAATATGACTGTTTTAAACGATTACAGATAATTATGTAAATCGAGTAAACACTTAACGAACGTGTACACACATTTACCACGTCGCGTCGCGTCGTTTGGGCGATTCATGAATTTTTAAAGGGACAAAGTTCGTTACTAAAGCGAGTCATTGTTCTTGAAAATGTTACAAAAATGAACAGTGTAGAGAAATGCAAATGCTCAAATGGACTAAAAGAAATCATTGATTGAATGCGTCATTTGAAGCATTTCCGTTGATTGCGCTTTCGCGTCATTTAAACGCGTTTGAGTGTAGGGGAAACGTTCACCATCTCATAAATCCGTTTTCATAAAATTTCACCGTCAAATCATTCCTTCAAACCTTTAATTTCACTTTTCAAACGGATTATAAATTCATACGTACAAACTTTATACACGGGATTTATAAAAATATTATTATTCATATTTTACTTAACAATTTTTAAAATTGCTGTATGTTCTTGTAATTTTTTTTATCAATTCTTATTTGTTAATGTGCAATTATTATATTTTATTTTTGGTAAAAAAAGTAGAATAGAATGTTTCAATTTTTAATAAATTATTTTTAAGTATCATATTAATCATTATACAAGTTAAATGAATAAAAAGGTGGTTGTAATATGTGAAGAAAGAAATGAAAAATTTTAAACAATAAAAATAAGCAAAAGTATAAATTAGTAAAAAATAATCATATGAAATAATGAGAATAAAAAATGAAAATACAAAATAATGAAGTAAATGAAAAATTACAGAAAAAATAATATTAACATTAACAAAAAAATGATTGTGAAGCAATAATAGTGAAAGAAACATAAAATAGTAAAAGTGTAACAAAAGAAATAAAATTATACCCACTAATAATAAATAATAAATGAACAAATTTACAAAACAATGAAAATGTCAAAAAAATATTAAACTTATAAAACAATGACAATGTCAAAAAAATGTCAAACTTACAAAACAGTGATAATGTCAAAAAAATGTCAAATTTACAAAACAGTGACAATGTCAAAAAAATATTAAACTTACAAAACAATGACAATGTCAAAAAAATGTCAAACTTACAAAACAGTGACAATGTCAAAAAAATGTCAAATTTACAAAACAGTGACAATGTCAAAAAAATATTAAACTTACAAAACAATGACTATGTAAAAAAAATATCAAACTTAAAAAACAATGATATTGTAAAAAAAATAATCCTAACTAATGTATCCTAATAATAATCCTAATTAATCCTATCTTGTCAACAATTGTTACCGTAAAGTAAAATTTGCATAAAAATAATAAAATAATAAAAAATGATCGTTGTCCTTTGATCTCACCTTCATCCGTTATTCAAGAAGAATATGGGAAACTGTCGAGCAAAAACGAGGTAGAAGAATAATTACACCGGCCCATGACAAACATTATAGCCGGACGTTCCTGTTATAATTAATCTCCTAATTAAAGGTGGGTACGCAAGGAAATCGACAAAAACGAGGGAACCGGGAAAGCCTCTGTTATCCAGGGATTCGTCGACGCTTGATAACCTTTCGTTTCGTTGGGGATTGAGCTTTATAAATTATTATTAGCGGAAATTATGAGTGCAGGCTCCTCCCTGTCGACGTTAACGTTATGCAAGCATAATGTACCACGCCATAATATTTTCATGAGCTTTGGGGCGCTAAATGCTCGCTACTGTATGCATCTTTAATGGATAATAGTGTTTCCCGAAGTTTGTTTGTGAATTGTCTATATTATACGTTATTTTATTATATGAACATTGTTTTTGTTCTTTTCGACACTTTGTAATTGGGGTTGGTTTAAGTTTTTTTTAGGAAGTTTGTTTAAAGGGAAGTAGAACTGTTTATGTAGCATGGGGGTTAATATTATTATTTTTATCATTATTGATAGCAACATCAACATAAATACAAATATAAGTGTACTGATATCAATACTGATACTAATACTATTACTAGTATCAAGATCAATTTACAAAGTCAATATCAGTATACGAAAAAAAATATGGTGCTATCAATTTTTAAGTTAACAAAAATAGCAGTAGCAATCGTAATAGTAATAATACACGAAATCACTCACAATATGAGTAATATTAATTAAGCACAATATTAACTGCTGTATTCAGTACCCATATCAATATATCAGTATCAATATATCAGTATCAATGTATCAATATCAATGTATCAATATCAATGTATCACTATCAATGTATCAATATCAATGTATCAATATCAATACATCAATATCAATGTATCAATGTATCAATATCAATCTATCAATATCAATGTATCAATATCAACATATCAATATATTAATACCAACCTATCAATGTTAATGCATCATGGTCAATGTATCGATATAAAGGTATCAATAACATGGTATGAGTATCAAGGTATCAATATCATAGAATCAATAATAACGTCAATAAATTAATACCAGTACAGGTATTAATATGAATGCTAAAGCAAATACGAATAACACTACACAATAAATACTGAGGTCAATATATTGATACAAGTACCAATATATTAGTCTTAAATCCCATACCAGTATATCAATATCAATATATAAATATTAATGTACTGGTATATACACTGATATTAATATTGTATCAATATATATAACAATATTAATGTAAATACTATTATCAATATTAATACCAATACTAATAATACCAAAATATCAATAATACCACTACTAATAATATTAGTATCAATCACACTAGTGCCAACAATACCAGTACCAATAATACCAGTACCAATAACAGTAATACCATTAATACCAATTCCAATAATACCAATACCAATCGTACCAATACCAATAGTAGCAATACCAATAGTACCAATTCCAATAGTACCAATTCCAATAATACCAACACCAATAATATCAATACCAATAGTACCAATACCAATAGTACCAATTCCAATAGTACCAATTCCAATAATACCAACACCAATAATATCAATACCAATAGTACCAATACCAATAGTACCAATTCCAATAGTACCAATTCCAATAATACCAACACCAATAATATCAATACCAATAGTACCAATACCAATAGTACCAATTCCAATAGTACCAATTCCAATAATACCAACACCAATAATATCAATACCAATAGTACCAATACCAATAGTACCAATTCCAATAGTACCAATTCCAATAATACCAACACCAATAATATCAATACCAATAGTACCAATACCAATAGTACCAATTCCAATAGTACCAATTCCAATAATACCAACACCAATAATATCAATACCAATAGTACCAATACCAATAGTACCAATTCCAATAGTACCAATTCCAATAATACCAACACCAATAATATCAATACCAATAGTACCAATACCAATAGTACCAATACCAATAGTACCAATACCAATAGTACCAATACCAATAGTACCAATACCAATAGTACCAATACCAATAGTACCAATACCAATAGTACCAATACCAATAGTACCAATACCAATAGTACCAATACCAATAGTACCAATACCAATAGTACCAATACCAATAGTACCAATACCAATAGTACCAATACCAATAGTACCAATACCAATAGTACCAATACCAATAGTACCAATACCAATAGTACCAATACCAATAGTACCAATACCAATAGTACCAATACCAATAGTACCAATACCAATAGTACCAATACCAATAGTACCAATACCAATAGTACCAATACCAATAGTACCAATACCAATAGTACCAATACCAATAGTACCAATACCAATAGTACCAATACCAATAGTACCAATACCAATAGTACCAATACCAATAGTACCAATACCAATAGTACCAATACCAATAGTACCAATACCAATAGTACCAATACCAATAGTACCAATACCAATAGTACCAATACCAATAGTACCAATACCAATAGTACCAATACCAATAGTACCAATACCAATAGTACCAATACCAATAGTACCAATACCAATAATATCAATACCAATACCAATACTATCAATACCAGAATAATACCAATACCAATACCATCAATACCAGAATAATACCAATACCAATACCATCACTACCAGAATAATACCAATACCAATAATACCACTATTAATAGCAATAATAGTACCAATACCAATACTAAATGCATGCCAGTATTAATATCAATACCCCTAACAAAATTACTACCAACATCACTATCAAATGTACTATTACTCTGACACGATTACAATTCTTTATCAGAGCAGTAAATATCCAGCACCAACCGCCATAAATTTGTGGCTCTGTTATCTCCCTTTGTTCGTTAGCATCGATTTAGGAAACGTCCTTAATTTGCAAGAGGATGACCCCGGTGCAATCGTAGGCGTTTCTCCACGGAACCGTAGCTAAGTTTACCAGTCTCTTTATTTTCAAAAGCTTCACCACCCACACATAGCAACACCGATGTTTCCATTCTCCGGTATTTCAACTGTTCTTCATCTTCTTTCAGCCTCCTTATATCGGAGCGAACAACAAAGGGGATGAATTAATTCGGTTGGAAATACTCGCAGAATGACCGCCTACCGAGTTCATTCGAGTTTCCTGTAAGGACCCGCCTCGCACGGACCAAACTTTCGCCATCCTTTCTCGTTTTAAACGTTCCGTATCACGAGAGTTACACAGCGAACTGTGAAACAAAACCGAATACCCTTTTTGCAAAAATAATAAAGTCAGCGGGTGAAAAAAAAGCCACGGGCAAACGAACCTGCGAAACTTCCACCGAAACTTCAACATTTACATTTTTGGTCAATGAGTAATTGGGATGAACGGGTTCATTCGGATTTCTAATTGATCACCAACCGGAAATAATTCAATACGGCTGCCTCTTATTTTTACATTTCAATCGTTTTAATATTTCTCGAATTCAATTGGTACAAGCTTAGCAGTATTAGTATTAATATAATAATTTATAATTTATATGTATTAATATAGCTGTGGACATTCCGTTAGACTCATACTGATGTCCACATAATATATAGGGTGTCTTCACAATTAAAAGGAGGCTTCATTATTAGACTCCTATACATGATATAATATTATAAATATACTTAGGAAACACTTATTTCAAATTATTGCATTAAATCAAATGATGAGCGCCACCTTTCAAACGCAGAAGGTTAATATACAGGATGTCTCAAAATTACCACGCGTTAGATTCCTACGCTTAGAATTACCACGCGTTGCATTACTACGCGTTGCACTAACACGCGTTGAATATCCACGCGCTGGATTACTACGCGTTGCATATCCACACGTTGTATTACTACGCGTTGTATTGCTACGCATTGGATTACTATGCGTAGGATTACCACGCGTTGCATTAGTACGCGTTGGACTAATACGCGTTGAATATCCACGCGCTGGATTACTACGCGTTAGATATCCACACGCTGGATTACTACGCGTTAGATTATTACGCATTAGATTCCTACGCTTAGAATTACCACGCGTTGCATTTGTATGCGTTGGACTAATACGCGTTGAATATCCACGCGCTGGATTACTACGC